GCTTCTTTGGAAAATGGGAGGAGCCGATGGACATCGAAGCCTGTGAGCTGAAGCGAGAGCCAGACAAGGGGAGTTTGGCGGAGGCGATTTCGAATTCAGGCTTCATCGAACGCTGGTTCAAGAAACCCCCCCAGGAGAGCGACGAGCGTTATTCTAGGGCGGTCGGGCGTATCTTCCTGAAGCCCTTCGGACTTTTTGACCCAGAGAAGTTTTTCTCGCTGGACCAGGCTACCGTTAGGGAGATTCTTCAGTATAATACTAATGCGAAGCTGCAGGAGAGAGATTTTTACACCGTCAAGGGCATCAAGGGTTATGACTATCGCCCGTACCTTCTGATCGACGGGACTATCCTCACTCGACGCAAAGGAAAGGCAAAGTTGCTCAACTTCTTCTACCCGAAGCCAGCCCGCTACCACTTCGAGATGACACCACTATATGTCGGCTCGGGCGCCTTCCATCCCAATGCTGGCCCTGAGGGCCGTCCGATTGGAGGCGGATATATTGCTCCTCACCTCTTTGACTCCGAGAAGCCTCATCACTATGATGCTGACAAAAGCCTTGTCACAGTGAGTCTTCGTGAGTGTGATCGGATCCTCAAGTTCACCTTTTCTGCACCAGCAGAGCCGCGCCAGCTGAGATCGTTTGGACATGGATCGGAAACTTCCACTTCGTTGCCGACAAGTTAGCTTGTTTTCCCGAGTTTAAGTACTGGAGCCCTCGGAGCCCTCAAGATTTTGACGTATATGAGCACGACTTTGATGATTGTGGCCTCACTGATAATTTGGGGATCATGGCGCTCCTACGGCCCAAGCTACGGCCCAAGGTCAAGCGCATTGTCGTGTTCTGCAACTCTGGGACTCCTATTGACAAGTGTAACCCGTTCCTGGGAATGTAGAAGACAGAAATCCCATCTCTTTTCGACCTTGCTGAGAAGGGGTGGAACTACGAGAAGAATGTTGTCTTCAACGGGGGCGACGAGACGTTCGAAAAATTCAAGATCAAGCTGATCGAAAAGCATGAGAAAAATGAGGCGCTTGTGGTGAGGATGAACTTTACAGTAGAGGAGAATGCCCATTACGGCATCGAGGGCGGCTGGACGACCGATGTGACATTCGTTCATACTTGCTTGCCCGACGAGTGGGTTAACAGTCTGAATGATATGGACATTAAGGGTTGGGTTGGGGATCTGAGCTGGTGGCGAAAGCTGAGGGCCATCGTTTGGCCGGGACCCTATGGTAGAAACTTCCCTTGCATTGAGACGTTCTTCGAGAATTGGCGATCCTTCCCTGTCCCACGTATTATCGATATGACCCCCGCACAGGTGAAACTGCTAGGTCACCTGGCGGCGTGGGTCGTTGAGAGAGAGAAGGAATAGCTGCAGCCTTAGTAAGACTTGGAAGGGATCGGGCATAGAAGAGGAAGCAAGGCATCTTGATTATTCACATTCAGAAGCCTTTTTTTCTCTGTTTCACCACCTGTATCAGGACGAGTGACAGATGGATTGCAATCTAAGGAGCTCTAATACGATGCCGTATCTGTTTCAACCAGACAGTCTACTTACCTGTTTAGACCTACTTTATTCTATCCACCACAGAAATCACCTAATACAGCAGGCCAGCTGACTCGCTCCTCAAGTGCGGTAACATGAACGGAGGGCGACCAGATTGTGTGATCTGAGGCCTTTGTGATATACGAGATGAGCAGACTATTAGGATATGAGTATATGAAGTCCGTGAGACGCCGGCTTTTTTTCGTCCTCCTTCTATGTCTTGCTCAGAGAGCCAATGAGAGGACGATTGAACGGATGCCTGTCTGTCTCTTCTCTCTGCCTGTGTGCTTTCTCGGATGGATGAATAAGAAAGGGAGCTATATACCACCGGGTGAACAAATGCGTGAATAAGAAAGGAAGCTATATACCAATGGGTGAACAAATGCTAGTATGGATGAACAGATACATTTTTCTGGATGAACAGAGACATTTTTCACTCAATGATTGAGCTGTATTCTTGGTCCAAAATCCTCTGCAAATAACATTGACCCTTACGTGTGGACTTGGAGTGTGTGTATATGATGAATGTCGCTGTGCGCACACCTGCGCATGCACGTATCGACTTGGAGTGTGTGGAGTGTGTGTATGTGATGAATGTCGCTGTGCGCACACCTGCGCACACCTGCGCACACCTGCGCATGCAGGTATGGACTTGGAGTGTGTGTATCTGATGAATGTCTCTATACGCACATCTGCACATACACGTTTGGACTTGGAGTTGTATATGATGAATGTCTGTGTGCGCACACCTGCGCATACACGTTTGGGCTTGGAGTATGTGTATATAAGGAATGTCACTCTGCGCACACCTGCGCATGCACGTTTGGACTTGGAGTGTGTATCTGATGAATGTCTCTATACGCAAATCTGCGCATACACGTTTGGACTTGGAGTGTGTGTATATGATGAATGTCGCTGCGCACACCTGCGCATACACGTTTGGGCTTGGAGTATGTGTATATAAGGAATGTCGCTGTGCGCACACCTGCGCATGCAGGTTTGGACTAAGAGTGTGTGTATCTGATGAATGTCTCTGTACGCACACCTGCGCATGCACCGTCGTGGAGCTTGTCGCTATCAATGTTGGTCACCGCAGCGAAGGCAAAGCCCGTTAGAAGCGAGGTGACGATGGCCATGGAGTCGTAGGACTCAAGGCGGCTGCGGAGGTCTTCTCGCACCAACCCTCCCATCTGCAAGTTGAGGTCCACCTCACGGTCCAGACGTCGCCGAATCTCCTTTTTGACGTCGGTGTCGGGCATCTTCTTGCCTTCTCAACGGCACGGCCTGACGGCACCCGATGGCACGGTTTATTTTCGATGGGAGCTCACTAAATACAACTGCAGCAGCAGTTTCACGTGATGCCCTAGGCGGCCACTGGCCTGCTCCCATGCTCGTCCAACATGCAATACGCAACACGTGACATGCAACAGGCGACACGCAACACAGAGGGAGCAGAAGCATGCTAGCAGGTCTGCAAAGGCGCTGCAAAGGATGGCAACATACACTAGACACGCACAATGGCACACAAACGGCCGGTGTGGGCCGGCCATCCGGCCCTTGACAAACCCCGGTGATGTGCGCATCACACCATGGCGCTACGCACACACACATACACACACGCAATCAACCGCTCAGTCGCCCGCCGAATGTGGAGGGAGGGGTGGCTACAACTCACTCGTGTTTGCATGGTCACTGCTCATGTCGCGTTCACTGCCTGTGCTTGAGGCGCTGGCCGACTTCTTAACTTCTGCCAAGGCCGCACGCGCCGAATGGCTCTCTGCACACGCTGCGTGATGCATTCCTTGCATGATGGACGTACCAATGAGATGGAGTCGTCTGCGATGCCTCGGGTCAGGGGCTCGTGTAAAGGCTAACGAACGAATGCTTCACCGGTGTCGAGGGAGACAGGCCGTGTGCATGCTTTCCGCATGTGCATGCTGCTTGTTTAGTGCGTGGTGTATGGACAGAAGATCCCCGGTAGCACCGGGGTTACTGACACGAGTCTCGCTAAACACGATAAGCAAGCAAGCGCGCAGCGGTTTCAGGGAGTACCCTAGGTGGCCTGACGGCCCCGTCCCATGTTTGTCCATCCCAACATGCAACATGCACCCAACCTTGCAACACGCACACGCAACACGCAGCACGCAAAGGGCAGAAGCAGCAAACAGGTGGATATGCAATGCTACGAACGACGGCAACATACGAGCGAGCAGGCACATAGCGTCACACGCACGCCAAGCAAGCGAGCGAGGGATGTCCGTTAGCGCCGAAAGGTGGCGCCGGGCTTAGGGACAGGTGTTTCGTCAAACCCTCAACCGACCGACCGACCGAGGGAGGAGGAGCTTTGCCCTATAGTGGTATCGCCGCGGTTGCGTGGCCGTTTCTCCGTGAGGCTGGCAAGGCGGACTGAGATCCATATAGATCGTCCTTCCTCTTCTCTTTGTGCCATGGGACTTCAAGGGAGAGGTTCACTCGCTCTGGTGTTTTTGACGGCACTGTTTTGTGCGAGTGGCGCCCCCCACGATCAATGGACCTCGCGACGAGTGATCTATCAAGTGCTGACTGACCGCTTTGCCCGCGATCCTGATGCAACGGGCGACTCGTGCAACAGTGGTCATTGCCAGTGGGGCAATTACTGTGGAGGCACGTATGAGGGCATCCTCTCGAAGCTCGACTACATCAAAGGTATGAACTTCAATGCTCTCTGGATCTCGCCTATCCCTGGTCAAATCCCTTGTGGCTACCACGGTAAGAGTAACGAACGATACCAGCGGAAACTGACGAAGGAAGTGTGGATGCCTCTCCGGCCGCAGGCTACTGGACGAAGGATTGGAACAGATACAACACCTTTTTCGGCGATGCTAACGGCGATGAGCTGAAGAGAATGACTGACCAGTTGCACTCCGAAGACATTTGGGTGATGTTGGACATCGTGGCCAACCACAACGGCCCTGGTGTTTATAACGCCAGTCCCCCCAGCTCCTGGCCTTTCGATCGCAGGGAACACTACCATCCACCCTGCCAGATCGACTGGAACAGACAAGAGTCCATAGAAAGATGGTGCGAACTTGTCACTAAGACCATCAGCTGAAGGAGAGGAACTATGGAGTGTCTTTTTTGTCATCCCTCGGTGTGGTGCATGCATGCAGCTGGCTCGTCAACCTGCCTGACCTCAACACAGAGGACTGGTTCGTCCAGGATTTCCTCATCGACTGGGTGGCTCAACAAGTCGACCGCTTTGGCTTCGATGGTCTGCGGATCGACACGACGCCCTATGGTCAGCGACAGAGTACATTGTTCCTTACTCACTGTAGTCGAGTAGCTTGATTGACCTTTCCTCTCTCTCCCTGTTTCCATCCGTCCCTCGATCAGTGCCCAAGTGGTTTTGGCAGAGGATGGTGCAGAGGCTCCCGGGCACCTACACGCTAGGCGAAGTGCTTATTGGCGGCAGGGCCTTGAGCTACTTTGCCAAATACCAATACGATGAGCACGATGGCGGCCGCGTGCTCGATGCCGTAAGGAATGGAGGGAGGGGCGGAAGGAGGAACGGAAGCATGGATGAACATCACATCTGATGGTGTCTGTGGCCCCACAGGTTCTGAACTACCCTTTGTATTGGGCGTTGATCAACTCCTTCCAGCGCCGTCAGTCCCTCTGGGGGGTGGCCAACATCCTCAGACAAATCCAAGACACCTTCAGGTGAGCAAGCGAGGAGAACAGATGATGGATAGGGTGTTGGCAGCCATTCATCATTTGGTCGACGGCTGGCTCACTCGCCTCAGGGATGTGGCTAGCTTGGGTGTGTTCATCGACTGCCACGACCAGGACCGCTTTCTCCTGCACGAGCCTTCTCACACTCTCTATCAGAACGCCCTCACCTTCGTCCTCACCACCACCGGGGTCCCGATCATCTACTATGGCACGGAGCAGGGCATGACGCAAAGTGAGTGAGTGAAGACGACAGACACTCGCTGTCAGGAGCGAGGAGGTGAGGTCCTATTCATGTATATGTGTAGGCCCCGACGCTAGTTATGGTGACGATAACCGTCGCCGCGAGGCCTTGTGGAAGGTCGGATACAACACAGAGCATCCCTTATATCACTTCCTTGCTCGACTCAACCTCCTCCGCACCCTGGGCGTCTTCGATGGGGCGCAAAGAGAGCTCTGGGTCAGTGACCAAGACAGAGGGCCCTCTGATGGGCTCTTGTCTGTCAAGGTTATCTATCTCCTTCCTTATTCAGGTATTGAACGAAATCTACTTCTTCGCGCGCGGCGAGCGTGTGCTGGTGGTGACCGCTAATATTGGAGACGGGCGGAGCTTCGACATCAACCTCCCGCCGGACAACATTCCGCAAGCCTTCCGGGGACAGCGCTATTTCTGCGACCTTCTGAAGCTCCGTGGCTCTGCTGTCCTCGCCTTCTTCAGCAATATCAACAACACACCAATCTCCACTCCGCCGGCAGCCTTCCTCCAGACCTCTTCTGCAGTGCGTGAGGCCACCTGGGAAGGTCAGGCGCTGACAACCAATGAGACGAAGCGCGACTACATGCTGCGCACCATCGCCGTGGCCAAGGGCGAGTCGATGGCCTCTCAGAGTGAGTCTGAGGGTTCAGCCTTCGAGCCTTTCCTCCCGCCTTCCCAGAAGCCGCGCAATCATACGCGCGAGGAGCTGGTTCGAGCAGAGACGCCCCTCGCACCCTTCGTCAACCCTCTGGCTTGCGTGGGACCCGACGAACTGAAATTGCCATGCGGACCCTCACCTGGAGAAGCCTCGCAACCAAGCGCTGACGCATGCATGGTATGATGGAGGGTGTGAGAGGTGGGGCGTGAATCGATATGGATGTCTGTCTCTCTGCGTATGCGTGTGCGCGTGCAGGCTGCTGGTTGCTGCTTCGGCCTGCCCTTGAACGACTGGGACTTTGTTCCTTACTGCTTCCACCCCATGGTGCCCTCACTTATCAATGCCCCGCCGCCTCCCAGGCCTCGCCGGAACCCTACGCAGCGAGGGCACCGTGTGGGTCAAGGGGCGTGCAGGGAGATGCCTCATGGGGTGTCTGGGGGATTCCATGTGCACATCAAAGGGGGTATGCCACAGATCTGGATGGCCATGCCCAGGGAAGCGGCAGTGTCCAAATGAGTGAGGGACCTTCCTTCACAACCGGCCCACCGTCCTTCCCATCTCAGTATTTTTCTTTGGGCCTTCGTGTCTCGTGTGACCTCGTCATGCATCAGTGCGTATACTCCTCTTCGAAGTGCCAAGGGGCAGGTTGCTTATATCTGCTGTTTGTTGGCCGATGGAGCGTCGATTGCTTCATCAACACTGGGCGCTCGCATACGTTGCCTTTGTTTTGTCCCCCCAAACCCTTGCTCTTGCTCTCTCATCCTGCATGGCTCCGTCGAGGAATGCATGGAAGTGAGGTAGAAGTTATAAAAAGGTGTGAGTTATATCTGAGTACGGCTTTTGTAGTCCCTTCAGGTGTGTGGTCAAGGGTAAAGAGATAAAGAAGCAATGTCGAGTGAACTTTGCGTTTCCTGTCAGACTGACCTCGGTGAAGATCGGTTTTTGGATGCTTTAGCTAAGGTCGGTGTTTTTAAACGTGTCTCGGCATGGGTCAGCGGTTCTTTTCCATTCGTGGCAAACATAAGGCGGGTAGCCGACAGCAAACTACCGTGTAGCTGTGATATGCTTCATATTTCCCCCCTGCGCGTCATGTCTACGGACGTGCTCGTACTGTGTGAATGCAATGCAGGATTTTATGCGGGAGACAAAGGGATGGAAATAATGGTCTCTGTTGAAGAAGCTCTACATCCACAGTACTTCTGCCATTACTATTGGCCCTTACGATTGTGAATGTTGGTGTTTTTGATGCTTTGTAGTCGACAGAAGATGCACTTGCTCGGTTCTTGCGTCATTCAGTAAGCTTAAGATATTTTTCGATGCATGGTTGGACTTTTGGGCGTGAAATCAGTGATTTTTGGATTGATGGTATGCATGAGCCGCGCAAAGTCCTTCAGGAGAGGCTGATCTGCAAGAAAGGGAGGCAGATTCAAGGAGAAAGAACATATTCATAGATACATCGGCCTCCATGACTGTTTGTGGCAAGGGAGAGAGGACTGTTTATGGTAAGGGAGAGAGAACGATGATTCATGTGTGTACTTCTTTTTCGATGCCGCTCTCGCTATCAATGTCACAGCGTTTCCTCATGGGCGTTTTCTCTGTGTACGCCTATGCATGGCACTGATGATTATTCACTCTTATCACCGTTGGCAAGGACATGTCCAGTGACAATGGATGTGCATCTTGTGAAGCGAAGGGTGTGTTTTGAGATGTGAGGGGAGGGAGCCTGGCTGATGGGTCACCAGACATTACCATTATTCAAGAAGATGCTTCACCACATCTGCCAGATACGAGGAGTTGGTGCCTAAGACTCATTTAAATCATAAAGTGGTTGTTTAAATCGTA